TGACAATTATTAAATTGTTGAGTATTAAAAATAAAATATAAAAAGCAAATAAAATGAAAGCTTAAACGTATAGTGTTATATACATTTTAATTCTACATCTATCTGTATTTTCAGCACACCAGTAGTTTTACAGGCGCAGCCTTTACAGCGTTTAAAGCTGATCGTTACTTGTTTGTGTCGAAGTCTCGTGTTTTCGAAGTATCACGTTCACTTGATGTACTTTTTCTTGTTAAACGAACTTTGAACTTTGATTTTTTCAAACATTGTAACGAGCCTGTTATTTACCTACGAAGCTGAGTTAAGTTTCATAACGTTGGTAGATATTTAACACTAAAGTCAAAGTCAAAGTCAAAAATCATTTATTTCAATTAGACCACAGTAGGCACTTTTGAACGTCAAGCAAGCAAAAAAGGAAAAAAGTATATAACAAGAGCTTTAAAATTAAGCATGTCAGTCTGTCCGTCTGTCCTCTAGTGAAGCTATTTGCTCGTTCCAAAGTGTAGATTCCTATGGAGAAGAACGAGCAAGAAACTCCATGGTTACTCTTTTTCAATCAGTTTTACAATACATTTCTTTGTTACATCATTTAGTCGGTTCTGATATGTGAGAACAATGTAACACTAATGTTCAGGCAAAAAGTACGAAAAAGAAGTGAACCTCAAGGACAACATATTTAGACAGCCTGGAGATGACCAGTCCCAATAGGCGGCGCCCGTTCACGAACATGACACGTACACCAGCACCGCCCAACTCAACCATATTATAGGGGATTGGACGATCCAGTGCCCGTGCCACCGCCAATGAGACCTCTGAGTGAGCATGACAGCTCCCAGCCGACACAAGTACCTATATTCTACAAGTCTTACTTAATTATAATAGGTTACAGGGCACTCACATTTACAAAATCTTAGAAGTTCATCAACAATTAACAACATAGTGTACAATTTAATAATTAAAATCAAAAAAAAATACTCTAAACATCCTGTGGAGTAGGACTAGCTAGCCTCCAAGCATTTTTATCTTGTATATAATCATTTAGTTTGTAGTATGCTAGTTTACATAAATGTTTCTTTATACATAATTTAAATTGGCTTTCATTTAAATTTTGAATTTCAACTGGGATTTTATTATAACATTTAACACAGAAACCCAGGAATGACTTATGCACTTTTGCCAATCTAAATAAAGGCTCACTCAATCTATTCCTATGTCTAGTATGATAATCATGTTTGTCAGATACCTTTACAAATAAGTGTAGGTTTTTCCTAACATACATAATGTTTTCATAAATAAATTGACTCGGTACGGTCAGAATGTTGATCTCTTTAAACTTTTCTCTGAGAGATTCGCGACGACCTAAGTTATATATAGCTCTGACGGCACGCTTTTGCAAGATAAAGATAGACTCAACGTCAGATGCCTGTCCCCACAACAGAATTACATACGACATGATGCTGTGAAAGTAGCTAAAGTACACTAGTCTTGCCGTGCCTACATCGGTTAGCTGACGGATCTTCCAGACAGCATAAGCTGCAGAGCTCAATCGTCCTGCTAGAGACCTGATGTGGGGCCCCCATTGCAACTTCTCATCTACAGTGATCCCCAGGAAAGTAGTCTCTTTTACAAATTCTAGTTTCTGATCATTTAATAATATATCATCACATACGTTACTTTTAACATTTGGTAAAATAAATCTAATGCATTTAGTCTTTTTATCATTTAGTAATAAGTTGTTTATTGTAAACCAATTTTGAACCTTCATTAAGGCATTATTAACTTCGTCATATTTGTTTGTTCGTCTTTTTATTTTAAAAATCAATGAAGTGTCATCAGCGAATAATACCATATGCGGTTCATTTTGGAACATATGGGGCAGGTCATTTACATAAACTAAAAATAGAAAAGGACCTAATATTGAGCCCTGCGGTACGCCCATAGATACGCTAGCACCCAGTGAGTTAACTTTGTTGACTTGTACTTTAATTTTTCTTTCTTGGAGGTATGATTTCAATAAATCTAGGGATACCCCCCGAATGCCGTAGTGTTCTAGCTTCAGTAACAGTCACTCTTTACTTAATTTAGTTTTGTAATAAAATCCAAGTCTTAATTGGACTGCGTTTTGTTACTGAAATTCGGCAATAAGACTACATAAAAAAAAGATTTGTTTTATGTAGTAGATTGTAGGTAACCAATAAAAAAATAAACAACACGACTAACCATTTTGTTTCCTAGTGAGAATATTTTGTTTGACTCAGGAATTGAGCCCAATAAATAATACTGTTTAACTCAAGCAAATAGTATTTTATGTGATAGGACGGTAAAAGACCTGACGGGTTACCCGTTGGTAAGCAATCAGCGCCACCCATAGACACCTACAACACCATAAAGGTTACGAATGTGTTGTCAGCCTTTTGGGGATAAGGATTTCGGAGATATAGGGATTGGGGGAGGGAATAAAGGTTGACCAAAGAATGACATTCAAACGACATAATTTACCTAAACAAACACGCCGATAAATGTTAAAAAAATACTTTAATAAGCCTGAAAACTGTAACATCCACGTTATTATAATAGTTAAGCGGCCGGAAGTAATAAGTTTTGTAAAACAAAGAGCGGTGCAGGCGCGGGACGGGAGCGGGGTGCGGGGTGCAGGGTGCGGAGGGGGGAGTTTCCGCTCTACCGGGCGGTATTCTATCCTGTGCTCACTGTAAAATGTATGCCCCGAACATCCACTCTGATCTCTGATAGAAGATTCCATAGTTTATAAGTCAATCTATAAATAAATCGTTTATTTGCTTGAACAAGGTACATATAAAAAGGTTTTTGCAAATAATAGAATCTCTTATTCTGCCGTTTTTGCGGCGTGCTTGTAACTTTTGAAGATATTTTAATGAAAACATTCTTTAGATATGTACTTGTATCTACATTTAAACAGTACACAGTGTATCTTGTGTGTCATGTAGCGGCAAAGGTTAATTTTTTTCCCTCTCTCCTGCTCTAGGCCGAGGCTGGCTATAAGTCTCCGTGTTTGGTGATCCACTGGCTCTTTGAGGCTAAGAGTGCGCCTTCGGTATTTACCTGCATAGTGTGCTGGACCTCGCGGGAGAAGTGGCTCGGTATTTGAGATTTAATAGCATTTCAAATGTGGTAAACATTCACATCTCTCCCCCCCCTGCCTTATATTTATCATGGAAACTTTTCTTTGGCTCAAGATTAACTTGGATTTATTTGTGTGTGACGTAATTTTATTGTCGTTTCAGTTTTTAGGCTTATTTTTTAATGTTCATTCTTTTATTTACTGTGTTGAATATTGTTTATATTGTGGTTGACTGTGGTCGAGTGGTTCAATTATAACAAGAAAAAAATCTATCAAGCAGTCTTGTTAGGTTATGTATTTTCTAGAATTAGATCCGTTGTTGTATTACAATATTGAAAGATTTTGTGTAGTGGAATCTAAGTTGACCAATTAAAGAGTTTATTTAATAAAATAGACATACAATATAAAATAAACTACAACACCACTGCACTCAATTAAAAACCTCTTTAAAAAAAGGCCTACAAAGCATCCTATTCATGCCGGCACCCAATTAAGTGTCCCACTCACCGACAATTGAATATAACAGTCGAGACGCATTTGCAAAAAGATGGCAACATTTAAAAAAGTCGTGTGTCGGCCCGAGGCAGCCAAAGCGAATTACCTCGACAAAAGAAAAAAAAAGAAACGCCTTTTATCTTTTTCTTTTAAAAAGGGAAACGTCACAAAGGAAGATTTTGCGCGGCAAAAGTTGAAGGCGGGGCTTTTGAAGTTGTATACTTCGAGTCTTATTGCGCTTTTTGCTTTGTTGTTTTTAAAGGTAATTGTTATTTTATATTTCTTGTGATTAGCTTAAGAGGAATTTTGATAGTTATTTTGGTATTCTCAAGAGCAGAACAAATCCAAAGAAGTATGTAACTACTCTTGACGTTCGTAATAGATTCGATTAAAGTGTGTGAGAGCTATGCTTCGGCACGAATGGGTCGGCTTGACTGGAGTGATATCACGGCCTCACAGAAAACCGGCGTGAAACAATGACAGCGTGGTTTCGCCCTATGAGTGAGGTTACCGGAGGCCCAAAACTTCCCCTTCCCTAATCCCTCCCCAATCTCTAAATCTCCAAATTCCTAATCCCGAAAAGGTTGGTAACGCATTCGTAACTCCTCTGTTGCGGATGTCCATGGGCAGCGCTGATTGCTTACCATCGGGTAATTGGTCTGCTTGTTTGCCGAACTATTACATAAAATCAATTCTAATGTTTCACGTTTCACACAACACTCAATTCAGTCTACAAGTTTCTGTAACATGTTTTACGCAAAGTACAATATGTACTCTACGCCGCACACAGACGTCTGGAAACCCTATCTGCTGGGACATTACCATCCATTAGTCGGCACATGGCTCGCAGAGTAACATCAACTACTTTACAACTAGATCGATGAGGTCAAAACCACGCCTATAGCCGTCATGGTCGGAAATAGGCTCATTTCCTTATTGTTTCCATGTTTTACCTGAAAGTCTGACATTACGAATAGGTCATCACTTAACTCCGGCGCAAATGTTTCCTACGAGTTATTGGCAAAGTTATCGCCTTTGGAAGCTAATGGCCGGGAATGTTAATCTTGTTTATTTTTGGACGATGTTTTTGTTTTGTGTTATTGTTCGAATGGAAATTTTGCAAAAGGAATGCTTGTTTTCGATTTGAGTATGAAATATTTGTAAAATGATTAAATTTTAAGGTTGATAAATTATAATATACGTTAAGTATAATGTAGTTATCATTTTGATACACATTTTGTCTTGTTGCAGGACTGCAGCAAGAGATTCCAAAAGGAATACGCAGTACCTTTCTTCTATTGTATTTTCCATAATAATAATTTTATTGTAGTTATAAATAGATAAATAAATGGTTCAGGCAACCACATTCACATACGCTGATCAAAAAGTCATTCAACAAAACTCTCACCTCTTATCAAACTCATGAAGATCTTCTGACGTGAACTGGCTGGTGACGTCCAGGAGTTGCTGGATGTGATCGCTGCAGACCCTGCTCTTGCGGCGCTCGTCATCCCTGACCAGGATAGTGGCGCAGCCACCATAGTCCAAGGAGAGTGAGGGTTGCTGCACCACTATGGTAGTCCTTCCAGCTGGGATGTTGTTGGTCGCCGAGTCCAGTGGGTTGGCGGTCACGTGAACTTGAGCAGCTGAGTAGGAAAAGTGTTGTGTAAGGGTCATATGGATACGTAATTCAATTAAATTTTTACCACAAAAGACGGAACTTTTTAAGTGTGGGAGAGCCATGCTTCGGCACGAATGGGTCGGCTCGACTGGAGTGGTACCACGGCCTCACAGAAAACCGGCGTGATACAACCATAGCGTTGTGTTGTGCCGTGTGAGTGAGGCCCAATCCTTCCCCACCCCCAATCCCTCCTCAATCCCTAAATCTCCTAATCCCTAAAAGTTCGTTCGCCGATCTATTACAAATAAAAAATTAACTAGAAACTCCTCCTCAATCAATATTTTATTGGTGTTAATAGACAATAGTGATATCATACTAAAGTCGATGAACGTGGAAGAAATAAACATTACTTAATTGCAGTTTTCTCTTTCTTGTTTAAAGTTTGAAACTGAATCCATTATTGTTGTGCCAGTTCTAAACACTGCGGAAACGGAACACGAATATGAAGCACCTTCTACCGTTATAATGTGAATTTTATCGCGAAAGTTTAATAAGTTTTATCTTTAGCATGAAGCTAAATAAATACAAAACAAACTGCCGAACAAACTTAGATCGAGAACTTGATAACATTCATCTAATTTAACGTTTCTTGTAATCGCTCCGCTTACGAGCCTTGGCCACGATACGGCTGATTTAGCAAATGAACGACTCATTGTTTAGAATACTAATGTAGTGGAAATAAATGCACTGACTCCTATAGCTCTAAAGCTTTTTGTGGGATAAACCCGCCACCTACTAATACGGCTGCAACTACTGTAAGCTAATATCTACAGAAGATAATACCATAAAAACACCGAAAAACCCGACATGAATGACATTCTTGGATTCAATTATGAAACAAATCAGAAGATATTATTTGAAGAGAAGAAAAAACGAAATAGTTTCTATTTCCCTCGGTTAATTTAATGCAGAAGATAGGATGACTTAAGCCTTAAAGTCACAAAAGAGGTTATACACCTGGTAGAAGTCTAGTCACGAAACTCATAGAATATTGTAATGGCTCTATGACTAACCTGTCGACTGTCTTCTACTAACGGACGGCGGAGGAACAGAGTGCTGATGTGCTGACGATCGTCTTCTCGACGTTGTGAACACCTCCGTGCCCTCCAACTGTCTTCTCAACTTCGCCACTTCGTCCTTATAGTACTCCTTCTCTATCTTCTGCTTATTCTTAACCCTTGGTTCACTGCCTCTCCTCTTCGCAGGGTCAGGCTCGAACTTAAAGTGTGTCTCATACTTCGTCTGGTTCGCTTTTGGACTCTTCGGCGTATCCATCTTTGGATCGTAAGGTATTTGTATAGACGTGGACGCTATACTTGTCTGGCTTACTTGTGTCTGTGTTTTGTTTCGTGGTTTGTCCTGTCGCTTGGGGTCTGGTATTGGAACGTCGAATACAAACCGCGCCGGGCCGGGTCTGGGAGAGTCTATAACATCAGTTGCTGATTGGGGTTTGGTGTACGCTGGGGAGTCGATGTCACAGCTATTTTGGTTTCTGTGATAGTGAGGGGGGGCTGTGCTAGGAGGATGGGTAGGTACGTTGGGGTCGTCGATGAGACTGGGTTCTGACAGCTCGGGCGCGTCAGGCTCGGCGTCCATGGAGTCGTCAGTACCGGTGACCGAGGTGAGCGCGGTGGCCGCTGAGTCGGTGCTCGTGTTGATGGTCTTGTCCGACGTTGTGCTGCTGCCCATGACGACAACCTGGAACAGAGGGAACTGTGAGACAACTGAAGGAGATACAACTAAAAACTAAGTAGTTTGATATACGTTTGCCTTCATAAAATCAAGAAATATGGCACCTATTACACAGCAATATAAGTCTGTATATAAGTTTGGTAGATATGAACACATTTCAGACACATTAAGAAGGCATGGTAGTGTAGATATGTTACAGTAATTTGAAGAGAAGAAATTACTACAAGAGTAGTAGTACTAACTATTGTCGATTCTGTGAAGTTGGATCTTGGGTCTTGGAGTTCAATGACTGTATTTACATTATATGTTCTTTTTAATTACTTCTATTTTCTACTCAAAGGATTGGTTATTTTCATTCTTACAATCAGCAAGGCACAATTCTATTATCAGATATTTTAATTTACATTGAAAACGTAATCTTTACATCATGTTTTGTAAATATACTAGGTATACTAGGTATATCGTTACGGACATAAAACATAGAAGAGTATTAAGTTTTTGTAGGTTAATGGCACATTTTAATACATCTTTCTACCTACATAAACATAACGATAGCACTCGAGTTAAGAAATCACGCATAACATTAAATATATATGGTTCAATTTTTCACCGGTAACCGCGAGAACTCGTAAAAGTAACTCGGTACATAAAATGCAGGAACAAATGCAAACCGCCCTGTTTTATGGCAGGAGTGTGGGCCACGTGACTACCAAGATAAAGCTTGCAAAAGGGGTGAGCAGAAATGTCTATACATTTTATTTAGGACTAGGGATAAGACTGGAAATAGTTCCGCTTATAAAGTTAGGTTTGACAATGACGACGAGAGAAAAACTTAATCGTTCTTCACTTCATCTGAAGATTGTCTCTTAAAACTTTGAGCTGTACAGTCAAATCTATGATATCTCTATAAGTGTAGCAGGTGGTAATGATAAAAATAAGTAGTGTGTATTACTACATCTCACATAGGCTCACCCAGGTGAATAGAATATGTTACATGATGTGTAGGCCTCTGGCTAGCCTTCTAAGGCCTAATATTATAATACATTGGAGTCATACCGCTCTTTCGTAAAACCGTGGCGTGAAACAAGTCACATTCACGCGGCTGAACACAAGTGTATGTGTGCAGCCGTGTGACTGAGCTAGATTCCCCCATCTCCAAAATCCAAATCCCTCAGTCTTTGAAAACGTAATCCTCATCCAAGATTGCGAGGTACACAAGTGTGGGAGAGCCATGCTTCGGCACGAATGGGTCGGCTCGACCGGAGTGATACCACGGCCTCACAGATCGACGTGAAACAACCCTAGCGATGTGTTTCGCCGTGTGAGTGAGGTTACCGGAGGCCCAATCCTTCACCGCCCCAATCCCTACTCAATCCCTAAATCGCCAAATCCCTAATCCCTAAAAGGTAACTCCTCCGTTGCGGGTGTCCATGGGCGGCGCTGATTGCTTACCATCAGGTAATCCATCTGCTCGTTTGCCGACTTATTAAATAAACAAAAAAAAGGTAAGGTATCGCGTTATCGACCTGTAGCAGAAGAAGGAACGGAGGAGTTTTTAGTCAGTAAGAGTCTGACCTTTTACCTAATTCTGGGGGAGAGAAGGCGTTTGATGGTTCGCTCCCCACAAAAAAAACCTTCAAAAGGAGGCCGGCTTCAAACTTGTAACTTCTCTTGTCTATCTCTTGGCTATCCATGTGTGGTGCCGATTGCTTACCATCAGGTAATCTGTGTGCCAGTTTGTCGGCCTATGGCATATCAAAACAGTGGAATATTACAGAGTATCGCATGTTGCGAATAAATCTAACTGACGAGTGTTTGTCGAGGGGTACGTGATACAGCCACCCTTGCAGGGCTGAGGACTCGGAGTAAAATAAAGTAATTCGGAAATGTGATATTTTGACGCAAATGAATCTTTGATAGAATCCGAAACAATAAATGTTATTTAAGTCTGGTTTTATTTGCCACTTGCTACTGTCGCGCGATTTCACCGCACCACGCTGCTCGGCTCCATTTAATCGTAGCGTGATGTTGTATAGCCTATAGCACCCAGGAACATTATAACTATCTATCAGTGAAAGAATTTTGGCAATCCGACCAGCAGGTCCAAAGAAACCTCATATACAAACTTACAAACATACAAACTTACAAATTTTATCTCTTTATAATACAGTGAAATGTTTTAATAGTCGAAAGTTTAGTAGTTAGTAGTGTAGTAATTCGAAAGTTTATAATACATAACTATATAATATGTAATAGTATAGATTAATATGGAGGCACGGTAGTGCCCAGCTAAGTTTCGATCAGAACGGACATTTTCTTGAAGCATTTCGAGGCTATTTCCTTCCTTCACCTTGTATCAACGGTACGGACATCAATTTATTTCTATAAATGCTTAACGTCTTTGGAGTATTTTTTGTGAATAAAATTTAGGCTTCAAAAACAAACACATAAATTCACGTTCACAATATATTTAACCTATACATATATGTACTTATAATACAAGGTCGAAACCTAGTTTGTACCGCCCCTACAAACTACTAGTAGTAGTTGAGCACGCGAGTGTACTTGCAAAACTTTAGGAGTGAAAGTTGTAGCTATGTAATTGGCTGGTTCTAATGAAACTTACAGCCTTCAAACTACTCGTGCAGGGATTTCAGCTACTCTACACCGTTATGGAGTTTGTTTCAAACTGCTTCAAATAAGTTGATTAGATTTCATGCTGATAATGTGGTAGGAGTTATGCAACGTAGTGATAATGTAACTGCACAATTGATGCAGTGACTGGGCTGATATGCAATGTGTTTTGAGTTCGATTCCCACATGGAAAAGCTCTGCGTTTTCCAAAAAATGTTTGTCCTTCTTTAAATAAATAACGACTTCAATTCTCTCAAGCGGCAACAAAAGAGATGGCACAAGACAGACGGTTGCAAGAGAATTCATAACCGTATCGTATTTAAAATTATCGCATCCAGGATACATGTGAAAATCTTAGATTGCTCATGTAAAGTCGACGGCACGGTTGGCGCGGTATAGCTGGGATGCCGAGCAATGTTTTCCGGGTCTGGGTGTGATGTGTATGTGAAATTGTATGTTTGTAAACGCACTCACGACACAGGAGGTGAGGCTACGTTTTTTTTTAAAGAAAATTTTTTAAGTTTAGTTTTGCCATGCTTCGATATTAACGGGCTGGCCCGACCGGAGTGATACCACGGCCTCACAGAATCGGCTTGAAACAACCACAGAGTGTGAGCTCGTGTGAGTGAGGTTACCGGAGACCCAATCCTTCACCTGCAGCAGAAGAACGTACGTTGTGGTTTTAGTCAGTTAGAGTACCTGTGGCAGGAGAGTGTACTGATGGATATGCCCTTTAAAAAATTCTAAGTTAATTTGTAATTTTCGTCGTCGTTGAATTATTTTGGATGAATAAAATTTGTAAGTTCACATCTTAACTTGTGCGAGTCTATTGATAAGAGAGACAAATGTGGCTCGACAGCATCTAGTTTACGAACTTTGAATTTATGTTGAAAATTAAACGTTTTCGACATTTCTTTTATGAAATATGCTGATCAATAAATATAGAACTAAAAAAGATTAATTTTTAAAATCACAGAACTTTTTTATGTAAGTTTTTCTGGGATATATTTAAATTTATATAAAAATTGCTCATTAATAACGTGTTACGATGACAATCGCGCAGTCTTGTTACCTTGTTGATGGTAAGCAAATCAGGGTCACCCATGGACATCCACAAAACCAGAGAAGTTTCAAGTGCCGGTGCATTCTGGGGTTACAGGAATTGGAAGGGAAGGGGAAGGATATGGATCTTGCGCAATAAATCTATGCTAATTGATATGAATATTGGCTAGTGTGATAATTTTCCACTAATCAGTACACTATTAAAGTGCGACTAATAAAAACCGCGCTTGCGATTAATAAAAACCGCGCTTGCGATTAATAATTTGTCTGAAACGCAATATTTAATATTTTGAAGTAAGTCAACTTATTTATTGCCGTGGAATATAATTGCAATGGGCACTTCACTTAAATATAGATTTTAAACACTCAAAATCTGGGTATTCACTTAAATAAAAGTTATGAATACGCTTGAATTAAACCTCAATTTTTCATCAATCAATATGCAATGTTTGCAACGACAAACACCAAAAAAATGTGTCGAAAAGTTCAACTTTGTGTGCGTCACGTCTGTCTCCTAGTGAAGCTGTTTGATCGTTTCAAAGTGTATATTCTTTTTTAATCAGTTTCACAATTCATTTAATTTATAGAGTCGACGTTAAAGAAATAATACAAAGACCAAAGTGAAACAATCATTTTTCAAATAAAAACATCATTATGAAACAAGTAACTTAAATCAAAAGATGGCCATCTTTCTCTCATAAAAACCTTAAGCCGCGAAGAGAAATGAGTTAGACAGAACTCTCCCTATCTCAGTCACCTCACAGCCCTCAGCATAAATTTCAAAACACACAATAGGCATAAACACAGGTATTCGCAGATCAAGCTACATCAATCTCTCAACATTTTCATACAACTTTCAACTCAAATACGTCGCAATAAAGTGGAAGATCGGAATAAGTCGAGGGTATTTTGATGAGCGGTCAACTGTACACACTATTTTAATTTCTTTTGTCCCTTTTATTCCAACGTGTCAGACATTTTGTAGAGAGCCTTTGAACCTCAGCTCAATGACCTTAAGGACCCTTCAATAGCATTTTTAAAATCATTCTGAAATTCAGAAGAAATTTTTGATTATTTTTTAGAGAATGCGATGGGTGAGTTGAGTGGCAGTGTGTCTAAGTGGACTTTACAGATATCAAAAATTTCAGTGTTTAGGGGAGTGGATCAAAGTAGCAACTAATATGATAGGACTGAAATAATTCACTTTGTGTTTAGAAAAAACGTCTACATATAACGTCTATATATTTTAATGTTTCTAGTAGATATAAACACATAATATATAGAATTTTACTCAGATATGA